GCTTTGTGTCAGCCCAATCACATATTGTGTCAATACTTATCATTTTATCGTAATTTAAAAACTTGGAAATTGCACGGTACACTATAGGAACAACGATAAATTTTCCCTAATCGGCGCCATGTTTTTAGGCTCCTCCCATTTGACGGATCCTAATACGTGAAATGTATATTATATGTGATTTGAAGGAAAATTTGTCGAATAGCGACGGTACACGAAATTTAGCTCTTATTATTACTGTAAAAAATGTTCACCAAGTAGAAAATAGGTAAAAGTCATCTACGGAAATAAAGTACAAAGGTGTAGCTTTTTACATTCATCGTTCGTGAGATATGAAACACATTCTTCGTGCGAAACAAGAATGTTTATGTATTCAATCAGGAAAATGTTCTCATAAACTAACAATTGTAAGTTTAACTTCCTAATTAATTAACTAAGCTCGGTAATCCTCTCTTAATAAGCGTAACTGTAAAATATCCTTTGTCATTACTTTTCGTGATTTTTACATTAAGTAATTATCTTTGGTATTGCTCTGAAAAGTTATAAGCAATATTTTTTTAATTTTGTCTATTTTATATTTTTTAATGTCCTCCCAGTTATGTAGAACCTTCAAAATTATGCGACACTATTTTGCAGAATTTTAAATTTGAGCTTGAATTATTAGATTAACCAATCAAAAAATTTTAAAGGCCGCTTAAGAATTATTTGAATCCTGATATCGGAAAATTTGCTATTTTTCACCCTTTTATATGTATAAATATCTCGGTTGCATGTATTCTTAAATTGTCACCAAATGAAGTTACGGCGTGATAAAGCAAAATAAAAGTCCTTTTTTGGCCATACGAGATTATTGCAAAAATTAATAGAGGGGATGCCCCTAGGACGATTTTCGACTTCATCTCTAGTTTCTCCGCCAAGTGGCGTCAAAGTTCACTAACAATGATTTCGTTATATTATAGGTAATACTTGACCGATTTTGATGATTGAGAAGTTGATTCTAATATATTCTAACATCCCTGGTAAGAATAAGAAATAATTTTTTCTAATAAAAGCCGAAAATTTAGCGGAAAAAAATGAAAAAACTAGTCATAAAATCGGAAAACATCCCAGAGTGACCCTATGCATTCAATCTACAGTAACTTCAGAAGACCCATTTCAAAGAACAAATTCGCATTAGATTCATTTTTTTTTTTTCATTTCAATCAAATGACTAATTGGAGAGGCTTTGTGATCTACTATTATGATATCAAACTAGCAGCGGATTATCCTATTACTTGGGAGCTGTAAAAGCTCTACAAAATTAAATCTTTCACTATAAATCAGCTACAAAATGTGACTTACATTAACATTAAAATGGACATACATATAAATGATCTGCTAGTATAATATCAAGCTAGTATCGGATCATCCTATTTCTTGGGAGCTGTAAAAGCTCTACAAAATTAATTCTTTCACTATAAATCAGCTACAAAATGTGACTTACATTAACATTAAAATAGACATACATATATATGATCTGCTAGTATAATATCAAGCTAGTATCGGATCATCCTATTTCCCGGGAGTTATAAAAGCTCTACAAAATCAACTTTTTCACTACAAATTAGCAGTAAAATATAATGCAAATTAGAGTCCTGAAATGAATGCCATTTAGATGTACCTGTATTGTCCTAGATGTGTTAACCGTGGAACCACCAATCAGTAGCGTTGAGGATTAAGCATATTGAGTTCTTCAAATAGTGTTTTTTGATTTTCGGAATAAGGGCATGATGAATTAGGTCTTAAACAAAATTTTTCTAAGAAAGATTTGGGCACTTCTTTTGTTATGTCCACCATTGGATTTGCCAATATAAATATTGCATTATTTCTAAAATAGGCACGGTGTTACAATTCCTTATCATTTAAATGTTCTCATTTTGATATAACTTTTTACTTTTGTACTTGAGTAGGCTAGAAGCTTTTCTGAATTAATTAAGGATTTTCGTAGAAACAGGGAATTAAATTTATAACTCATGAAAAAAGTACTGCGCCATGTGAATGTTGACAAAATAAGAAAGCATTGTCGGGAGCACAGGCCCAAAAGCATTTAAATATGTACGAATTGTTGCAATTGTAACAACCTTAAGTGCATAATTGTTTTAAAATCTCAAAATTAAAGGTATATTGGGATCCGTCAAATTGGCATATACCATCTGGTGGCAAAATTTATAACTCGAATGAGGGAAAAATTTACATAGGAACTGTGCACGCAAATTGTAAAATTGTTTATTAAAATAATAAAACACGTTAAAAAAGTAAAAATTTTNTATATATATTAAAACTATAATGGAAATGTGTTAGATAAATTAACTGCTGTTAATTCAAGTTTGATTTCACCAAAATTTTCGCAAAATATCACAACATTATTATCTTTATTTACTACCTACAATGTAATCGTCAAATTGCATATTTTTATTGAACGTACAACCAACATTTTGAACGATTTGTCTTGCAGCCCAAATACCACAATTTACACATTCTTTCATAGATTTTCCTTTTACGAATTGTGTTATAAATCCTCCTGCTAATGCATCTCCTGCAGCATTAGTATCTCGAATTCCATGGACCTTTGGGACCAATACCTCATCCACTTTACCTTTTGTGTTGCATACCAACACCGATTTTGATCCTCTGGTAACGATAATAATTCTTTCGTCTTTCTTATCAAAAGCCAACTTTTGAATTGCAATAATTGAATTAATAACAGTCGGTTTCGTTTCGTTCAGCAGGCTTTTGTTTAAAGCAATTATTTCCTACAAATAGAATTAAGTTGTTGGAGTGGTTGATATAAATTACGCCAGAAATACACTAATGACTTATTACCCCACGTAAAAGCTGTTCCTCAAGAAAAATGGGCAGAGTTTTCTTGTTCGACTTACGAATAATACTAGTTTAATTTTTTGCTATAAGTAATAAAGACTTTAAAATATTATTATGGGGTTGGCATGATTTTCAAACACCCGCATTACATTTACCGCCCCTATTAAGGGCAGGTATATATCGGAGGAAGTTTACGTATGGTAATTAAAGTCATGGGGATGAAATTTACGTTTTCCGGTTGGGATGCCATTAATTTTGGATCCAAAATTCTATAAATGAAGCATTATTTTTAATATCTTGTTGGGAAAATTTTTGAATCGGAATAAAAACTTTAGGATAATTGGAATTCGTCTACAGAAAAATTTTATTTTCAACGTTGTTAGCTAGGTAGGATATTTTGTTTATTCTAAAAGCATCATAAAATTAACTACAAGAAAGGAAATACTTATACCAAATGGGTTTCGTATACATAGTCTAAATTAAACAGTACATTTTAATATACTCAATGTTGCTGCTCTAATTCGTGTAGCACACAACATTGTTTATCGATATTAAAGACCTTTGTTATCAGATCAAGAGCATCACTAGTCGAAGTGTTGCGATTTATACCGAAAGTACACGGACTTCAATTCGTCCTGTAGCATCATGTTGACCATGCAAATCATGAAGCTTTCGGAATGTTATTGTTCCGGTTGTTAATTATGTAATTATTGTGTAATAAGTGATAGACAATTTAACAGTAGACAAAAGATTTTATGATGTGATATGTGATGTGACCTATCTAAAAATTGGGAACTCATAATAGCAAGAATTTAGGATCAGGAGTCCAGGTAGGAAATTTTCCGACGTTTCTATGTGGCTTCTTGACCAATTTAGATTGTTTATTATCCACCATTTTATCGAAGATGGTAATTGGATTAACTTTTCAAAACTTTATCGCATAATCAAAGCAAAGTTAATTAGCGTTATTAAGGGGAAACTCAAAAAAAAATTAAATTAGGCGCAACTAAAAGCAACTTTTCATTATTAATTAAAAATTTTTTCTTTGTATCGGTAACATATAAATATGGTTGAATATTCCTTAAGGATCAATAATTCAATCAATAACATTTGATGGTGCACGCAGATGTAAGAACCTAAGTATTAAATTACTATAATTGTAAAAAATACTTCCTAAAAAGTATCCAAGTACAAATACAAGTACTCTCCTTCATAGAGTATTTAAATACAAATAATACATACTTTCATGGAA